GAGAGAGAGAGAGAGAGAGAGAGAGAGAGAGAGAGAGAGAGAGAGAGAGAGAGTCCTACGAAGCAGTGCAGATAATAATTTGACGCACAGCGGAAAGGAGGGAACGTGACAAAAGACGCGGGCTGTGGTATACAGATGCTGCTAAGCAATGGTTCCCACTGGAAAGGGCGTTGTCGTCTCCATATGCAACGAGGAAGGAGAAAGGAGTGCATGCGGACTTGTTTGGGCTCTCTTCTGCTTGGTTTCGTCTTTCCTCGCGCCATCCTCTCCTCTCTGCCGGACGAGTTTGGCAAGCATCGGCGGGGTCCAACGTAGCAAGGTGACGGTTGACGCTGTGGCTTATGGAGATTAGCGACCACGATGTAGAAGCTCTGAATTCCAGGCCAGGGATCCACCTTTTCCATTGTCCCAACTGGTGGTCCCCACTGGTATTATAATATAAATAGTTTTGCCAGACTGGCCGTAGCACGAACGTTCCATACCAGCTAGTCGTTGCTGTAGATTTGGGCCATGATTAACAATTATCCACTGGTTAAAAAAAACATAAAAACACTTTGCAAGATCCGCAGCTACCCTCGCCAACGCGTTTCAATGAAACCAGCTGGCCTAGCTCAGTTGGTTCACCCCAGGGGCGAGGTCCCACTAGCAAAGAGGATTGGATTGAACACCTGAATCTGGACTTGTTTGTGGGAAGGTGCAGAATGTCGAGATTGAACTGCTTTTCCGCATCTATGCTTAAAACACGTGCAGAAGCAGGATATTTATCCAACCCTCTTTGCTAGTGGGACCTCACCCCGGAACTGTTGAAATAGAGACTCCACTGGGCCGGTCAGTTCTTTTTTTTTTTTTTCTTTAAAGAAAAAAGGGCGACAGCCTTGAGATATCATCGTTAAGGAAAAAAAAAAGAAAAAAAAAAAAAAGAAAGATATCATCATTAAGCTGACCGGCCCCAGCCAATTCAGTGAAATCGTTGGTTTTACAACTTGACTCATCAATGGGTTCCATCATCTGGATTCGAACACGGGTCTGTGTTTTCAACAGTTCATGGGTGTACCCACTGAGCTAGGCCCTTGGGTGGGTCGGTCAGTTCGATGAAGATACCCAGGGCCGGTCAGTTCGATGACGATATCTGAACGCTGTCACCTTTTAAAAAAAAATACAAAAATTCTTCGCCTGTTTGAGGCCATAACCGGGGGCTAGGTCCCACTTGCGCGAATAAAGAATTACTGACCGTAGATAGCAAAGATCAACGGCCAAGATCTCCTAATTTGCGCAAATGGGACCTTGCCTCGGGCGGATGTCCCACTAGCAAAGAGATGCAGAAAAGCAGTTCACTCTGGACATTGTGCAAGTTTCCACAAACCTGTCCAGGTTCAGGCGCTCAATCCAATCCTCTTTACTGGTTGGACCTTGCCCCAGCGACTCCCTTGCGACAATATTCCCTGGATGGCGGTCCAAGTCCATCGATTTAGGCTCCTTTCCCTCTGCCCGCAGGTACGAAGAGAGATTTCCCCCCCTCTTTTCCTACAGAAGGGGACGTATTTGGCATATGCGTGCAATGAACGAGCATGCTGTAAGTTGTTGTCAGACTATATTCGTGCCCAAATAGCATGAATTGGGGCTTGAAAACGGGCTAGGTTAACGATTTGGCGTTGTCGTTGCTAGGACACTCCGTTTTTATGGCCGCGGTGGGCCTTAGGAGAGTGTCAGTAGCTCAGAGAGCTCTGATCCACTGGGCCGATGTAGACCCGGAGGCGGTCTATAGGCTGTAGTAGGTAGTAAACTAAAGCTTTGGCTACCCTTGTATTTTGTGGTTGCATTTTGCAGCCTGTATTGTTTGCCATTTGGTGGAATTGTGAAATATTCTACTAGCGCCGTAGGGCTACGCCAGTAAGATGAGTTGGTTGACTGGGTGAGAGAAAGTGAAACTGGGTAATGTTCCAAGCCTTCCCGGTGAATTTTTTTTTTTTTTTTTGGCAAGGCCCTTGTACAAGGCCTCTATCCTGGTGGTGGTAAGAGAACCACCGGGATTGAGG